CGAGCGACACCAATGTAGCAGCTCTTCGAGGACGAGCGCCGGATATTCGGCAGAGGCGAGGGCTGCGACTCGGAGGCTCGTGGCAGTCGCCCGACAGATAGCGCAGAGGTTTGAGGGGGCCTCAGTGCCCTTCTGGTGAAATATGTCGAGAGGGGTGTTGGCAGAGGAGAAGCCTTCGAGCATCCACTCCCGCTCGTCTCAGAGAGTTTACGGTTGTCTGATACAGAGGATATCCTTGGTATGTGTCTAAATACGAAACCAGCGCTAAATATCTGGGTCATGTAAACTTCAGAAATATCTTGATTGAACTCTACCCACTTCAAAATGACAAAATTAATCACGCAAAATAGCAAATCAAGGCTAGTTTGTGTCTAAGAATGAAGTTAGAATTGAAGCCGGGTCCAGATTTACAACTTTTATTGCCTTTTAAGGATACGAAGGCTTTGTGCATGGGCAACTCAAATTAAAAAGTTATTGAGCTGATAAATTGCCTAATTGATTTGGCTTAGGAATATGATTTTGTTTTAAAAGCATCACTGACCTAATTGCAGACATTTAGATATTGGCATTCACGAAATAGATAATTCCCAGCAATTCGGTAACTCACTGTTCAGCAAGTTTAGTGACGAAAAGTAGTCCTTTGATTGAAATTCCCAGTGCCTTTGAGAGCATTCGAAAATTGTGACCCCCTTGCTTACTGGGACTTCTAACTGACGTTTCTTTGACTCCAACCACGGATGTGGAGACACTAGAGGCTTCTTCAGCCGGCGGGGTGCCGAAACGTTGGACGAACTGATAGAGCAGAGCATCGTAATAGCGCGGTGTGCCGGGTTGACCCAAGCACACGCTGGGACCGTCGCCACCGGCTGAGTCGATCATGCTCATCATGTTTGCGCTCTGTGGACCGTATTGGGGATATATTCGCTCAAATCGGCCGAGGGAAGCACGGTACCACTCGTTAATGGTATTCGCCAACATCAGGGTATCGTCCGTGGTCGGATCATCCAATATGGTCTTCATATCCTGTTAGATTAATTAGAATGAAGCAAGATCCACCTTAATTACACATTGGACCACGGTAAATTTCCCAGCTCCCTGTGATCTGACACACAGGCTGGTACTCATGCTATCAAAAACATTGGTTCTCTAACCCTACTTGATGCCTAAAAACCTGCTTCCTGACTCATGTATCCTCCAATGCCTCCAAAAATGACTCAGATGTTCGGTATTAAGTAGCCTTTCCTATTTAGACATAAGGCAAACGAGGTGCCCAGATAAATGAACGTCAAATTAAAGATAGAGGATGAAGTCCATGAGCTCTTCCAAAGGCCGTTTCAAGACTTTCTCGTTCAGACCAAAGTATTATTCGGGCGTGCAGTCTAAGGCATTTTATCACAGTTTTTATCCACAAACTTGCATATCACACTGCTTAGGTAAAACTCCAAGTTATCAGTTGCCCTTGTGTCTCCAATAATTACGTATGCAAATCGTTTTACAAATCCTACGAATGTCAGAACATTGACATATGCCTTAGTAACAAATCCTATCTATATCCAGCAAGATGTGGATGTTGCTACAATAAAATAGTTAGTAACCTAAATGCGTCGCTCTATCACATTGAAACAAATTTGTGCAGAGCTAAACGAGGAAACGAACACACAGACACACCGGAGGAGACTGCGATCGTGCAGCGTATGC